GCTGAACACCTTCAACACAAAGGTAAACACACCTGTCCTTGGTGCGAACACCGTGAACACACAGGCAAACAGGCTACGATACAAATATTTTGACGGCAAATGCAGGTTTATTCGAACTAAATTAATAATGACAAAACTATCTTAACTTAGCCATACTTAATCTACTTTATTAATGTTCTGTTTTTCTATGCGAACACGTGGCTATAATGCTGTTATAGTTTTAGGAAATTGTTAATACGTTTTAGGAAGTTGCTAGTATTGATGTTCAAATACTAATACGTCGAACAAATCAAAAGAAAAATTACAGACCTTACAATGGGTATGTGATGACGTCTTACTTGGTACTAATTTCCTTCAAGTAATAAGGTCCGGAAATTAACAAGATGGCAGATTGTACGTTATGTGTCAATACGTAGATGCACGGTTTGACTGCGTATTAGTAAAGGTCAAATGTGAAGGCCTCAGACTTATAGAGAGTTCTCGTTTAGTCCATGCTTGATACATATCCACATGTTAAACGTTAAACTTTATTCCAACACACTATTTACAGGGATCAAATTTTCAGCGACCACTGTCGCCTTCATCAGGATAATTAATGACCAATCACTTCAAAACGTGATCTCGCGAGAGTTACGGTTTACAAACACGTGACCTTATTCACACGAGACTTTACTGATACGTGACGTAAGCAATTGATCAACAGTGGTCGCTGAAAATTTGATCCCTGTAAATAGTGTGTTGGAATAAAGTTTAACGTTTTACTATGATTACTACCAACACAGATGAACTTTCATGATATCCACATGTGTTTATGTCTCTAGGGGCCTTCAACCTTGACACATACAGTTCAAACCGTGACTCGCTGCAGTATCCGGTATACATGGGGTATCGAAAACGAAAAATTACACGGCGTGAGTCTCTTCACTGCATGCGAGGTTGGTACGTTCCGTGTATTTCTTCACGCCAAGAGGAATTGTCACGCTCTTTCATTTAAGGCGTCTATACTACATTCTGCCCGCAGCCCGAGCTACGATTAAAGTGCTCATGACACCAAAATATGACCTTAGCTAATTGTAATTGACATAACTAGTATTACCTGGCTAACAGACACATTGGCAGGGTTCTCCTGTTACATTCGAAATGCTAATGCCCTGCCTTGGAAAAGTCAGCACAAGCCAGTCCTGGCAGGCGATGTGCATCTCTACCTTTTATTTTTGCATATCTATATTTTTCCTGAACTGACGTCATCCAGTGATGTCAGCTCAGGAAAAAGCACAGAAATGCAAAAATTAAACGAAGAGATACAAATAGAGATGCCAGAAGTGGGCAATTGGAAAGCTTGCTAGAGTCTCCAAAATTTACTTCTAGAAGGCCGTACAAGCTCCGTTTCTCAGTCATCATGATTGGAACAAACTTTAAGTGACTATATTGTATATACACTTCCGATATTTGTATGACATTTTGGTGTCATTTGGTCTTTAATGGGCTGCATTACAGCTGAAAACAAACCACGTGTATTCCTTTCACTAATTAAGGACGATCACGCTATGTATTTCTTCACCTGGGGTACCCAAGGTATAGCTTGTATCATGGATGAAAAAATGCTAACCAGATGTTTCCTTACATCACCAACATAACAGGAAGTTACGTGCGCTGCTCTGCTTAAATCATATTACTTGTGAATTGATTATTATGTGAATTTATCTCAACCTCAGCTTTAGAATATCTTCAACATATGTTGCTTTATAGTTAAATGTCATAACTCATACATTGTATAAGTTTAACAACAAATAACATCTTGGCTATCCATAATCCTTATCAGGTGTAAAATACCGGCATCTCAACCATCAAAACGTCTCAAACTGAAGTTTTTTTATCAAGCAAAATGTCTCTTTCTATTAAGCAAAAAGCATTGGTTTCATTCATAATCTGACTGTCACCTTCATAATGTGTTAGCTGGCATATCTGTGATGTTATGATTCCGTAATTATGATGGTTGAAACACAAGTAGACCTGAGTGCTACAAACGGGCAACATGGTGACGGGATATCAGACAACTGCCGTCATTGAGTAACCATGATGCCAACTAGTACTTTAATTTATATTCAGTGAATTGATTACATTAAATCATTGAGCCATAATAGAATGAAAACATCTTAAAACCCATGTCATAACAAGGTAACCAAGCCATTGGGTAGTATAAGCTGATTCGTGGTTTTAAGTGCGCATACGCAGTGGCCCCTGAGACATAAACAAAACACGTCTGGGCATGGTATCAAACATGGTCTTGACAAGAACTGTTTACAAGCTATGTGTTATCACCGGTGACCTGGTTCATGCGCAGTTCAAACCATGAACAGGCTAGGCTTACTGCTTACGGATGTGTAGCTCAGTACATGATGATAAGTAAGAACGCCCGTGCCAAGTTACCCAAGGCATGAACCTGCTACGACCGGGCTAATATCGTACCATATATATTTCTTTCTAAATACAATGCTGGGACCCGATGTACACGCAAAAACAATAAAGATTTTGTCTTGTCTGATTCTTTGATAGAGTTACATTGGTAGTAACTTCGCACACAGTTGGCATCCAGATATCGTCGACTGTTAAATTTTAAAAGGCTCCAATATTGAAAAATAACCAAAAAAAAGAGATGTCCTTGTGTACGGCTGTCCCAACATTGTATTGCAGTTGCCGTCGTACCAATCGAATTTGAAACAACCCAATGTCGGACACAAGGCTTGATAAGAACTGTCATCGGGATTTTGAATTGATAAGTATTCCCTTTCCCTACAATATAATGTTTTAGGGACCATTTTTAGATTAAATCATATCATTTTGGACACTGGAACTGGCAATACTTTGCTTATGTTTGGTGATTCCAATTAAATCTAACAGTTCTTTGAACAGTCTAACATCTTCTAGTCCTCTTTACTTTAATCTTGACACTTGAGTAAAAGACGCTTTTTTGTGCATGGGAATCTCTGTACTTGTCCAAACGGTGAAAGTTTACTCTGGTGAAATTCATGAAGTAAAGGTTGTATCAAACTCAATGGATTATTTATCTCCTACATTTATCTCATTTCTAGGATTTCTCGGTAATGTGTTTTAAACAATTAAACGACGCCGACAGAAATATCTGGAGAAGAGAGGTGAGAAAGAAAAACATTCTATTGTGTAGTTGTCGACGCGAGCATGCAGGGTGTTCTGCTACATAAATTTTTAATTTGATAGACACTGATTTCTATGTCCTAGAAATGAGATAAACGAGTAAACAAACAGGGTTCCATATTGGGTCTTGCTCCAGTTGCTTCAGTCTTGAAGAACTTGGCAGCTGAGGTCCTAGAAGCCTGTGGAGGGGGGGGGGAGATGATAAATGTCAGAAAAACGTGTTTTTGTAGGAACATCAAGACGTTTCAAGCAATCATGACACATGGAAGCAAATGGCCTTCAAAACGCTACAGAACGATACAGAGTTACTATTTGGCACACTTCAAGTCTATTCTTAACAAACATTGATTATATCTAATAACTAGCAATACATATGAGACAGAAGTTGAAATACGAACCGAGTTCTTGGCTTTCTTGTGCCAGCAAGAGAATGTAGCTTTAGTCAGAATGCCTACGGTTATTATCATTGAGCAAACATTCAGTGACTTAATGATCGGAGCTATACTTTCAAAAAGGTTTTTGAACTGTCTTCTCACACTTCAAATTAGACAATCCCTGAGCAAGAAGCGTTAAACAAAGCTGTGTGATATGTGTGAAGAATTTTGGAGGCGTGGCTTACCGAAGACTTTCACCTCGCACAGGGTCAGGATGCGGCTGGTTCCTTGCAGAGCTACCCCGACGTACCGGCCCTGCTGACCGTCGCACGACACAGTCTGAAGGGACCCTGACACGACGGACCGTTGGCCGCCGCAATTTGGATTACTGGTTACGGTCGGACTGCCACCAACGTGCACATAGAAAGGGTTTAGCCTATCGCTGCAGCAGTCGACACGGTTGAACACATTGACAAGAAAGATGGTTCGGGTACTGCCCAGATCAACCCGCCACCATGGGTTGGTCTGGGTTGTTGTATGTGTGCATGAATTAGAGTTGTAAATGCCGCTTCCGTCGGACCCATCCACAGCTCGGGAGGAATATCCGGTACCTTCGGTGGAGGATTGCAATGTGCTCCGCGACAGCGCAAGATTGGTAACTCCTAGATAAAGAATTTTTAGATATCATTTAGACACTTGAAGACCGTAACGTTATAAACTCTGAAATGTGACGATAGGCTGGTTCTACAAAGAGCCGGACTGTTTCACCATGAAGATGTAAGTTACTGAATCTGCATCTCTATAACTTTAAACGTATGGGGTGGAGGCAAGGTGCAAAGTACAAGGTCTTTAGTGCTACCAATTTCCATCTCTCTTTGATCTGCTTTGATCTTGTGAGATGGGGGGTTAACGTTTGTGCTCACTCCTAGCACAAATTGTGCCCCCCCCCCCACA